TGTTTTAACCTTTTTAACTAAACTATAACCACAAATGGATTATGCATACTTGGCTCTTACAGTGGCTAAGAAATAAGTATGAAATTAAATGTATTTGGTGGGGGCAGTAGATGAAATCCTTAGCGTTGAGCCCTGATATGGGTTGTTGACAAATAGGCAGTAAAAATTGCTATGTAGTATGAAGTCTGATGTTTAATAAAATGTAAGAGGTCACTTATGGTATGTCTTATAGTGTGACAAAAAAAATGAAGATAAACTTGTTATAATATGCGAACAGCGTGAGAGTGAATTATCTTAACTGTTGGACACTAATCTTCATGTAAGGGACTTGCCAACCTGTCACACATGACGACACACGGGTTCAACTGCGCATACCGGTTGCAAAAAAAGACAAGTTGCAATAGCAAACATGTCGTGTTGTGCGGTGGGATGCCAAAATCAAAAGTCCAAAAATAGACAAATCTTACCGTACACCACATTGCTTTTAATGCCAACCGCAGACGTCTTTGGCTAACAGCCATAAGAAAAACTGAATGGAGTGAAGACCTAATTAAAAATGACTCTGCAGTTCTCATTTTATAACAGGTAAGTTGACGCTATGCTGAATCACACACATCACTCATTGTTGATTGCAGCAATGCAGTTGTTCTGCTTGTTGTTGATTACTCAGGCCTCGTACAGTTCTGTCTTCTTTCTTTGTCCTTGGCTAGGCAGAACCTCGGTTTTTAGCACTACATATTTTGAATATGGTAATCGTGGAGCATTATTTCTTGGACACGACCACAAAACAAAACTGTAGGCATACTAAGACTTTTAGGCCTTTAACTTCTTGTAAAATCTTGGGAGTTTAAATAAGATAGTTGTATATTTGGGGCTGGATGTTTGGCCATTTTGTCTTATCCAATATTCATTGGAAGAGTGCTATCGCAGATGGACCTGTCAGACAAACTCTGCTCACTTTAACACTAATTTTGCCGAATAACTGCTTATCACTGAGTAACGAGCTGTTATAATATGCTGAAAGCATTATGCAATTAATATATATAATATGTAATCAATACAGGGCTCGAAATTAACCTTTTTGCTTGGTAGCACTGGTGCTCCTAACTTAAATAAAATTAGGCGCATCAAACAAACTAAATTTCAACTAAATTTAATGCAATTTTTTTGTTTCTCTTGAGTTTTGCTCCTTTTAGATTCTTTAATATTTTTCTCTTACATAAAAATTTGGTTGTACAAATTTGGACCAGTATCATAAGTTCTTTTGTTAGATAAGCTCCAGATCTGGCTTCAGTACAGACTAAACTGATGTACATGCTCAAATATAATATTGTAAAACTTCCTGTAGAGAATATTAATTTAAATGAGAGATCTGTGAGTGTGTCATATATGCGGAGCACGGTATGTATACACTGTACATGCGCACACACATTTTCTATATGAATATGTAGATTTGCAATATGCAATGTTGTCGTGTCTTAATAAATCTAAATATAAATAAATAAATAAAAAGTTTTTACAATTTCAGTCCCAAGTCAACACTTATTACAGACAATACCAGGGTGTACAGAGGACTGCATTGTTTTATGCCTAATATGCTTTTGATTGTTTAAATTAAACTGAACGGAATGATAATATGTGATGTTTACACCATATCTGGCTTAAATGGCTTAATCTTTCGTGGCATAGATTCAACAAGCTACTGGAAATATTCCGCAGAGATTTTGGTCCATATTAACATGATAGCACAGCCTCACGAGAAAACGTAAGTATTTTACGTTTTGCCAGTTTAGTGGCTAATTCGTACGAGTTCAGTCGTACGAAATGGTACGATTTTAAAAAGGAGGCGTGGCACCTGACCCCACCCCTAACCCCAACCGTCATTGGGGGATAAGCAAATCGTACTAAATTGTACGAATTAGATCGTACGAATTCATACGAATTAGCCACTAAATGAAAAAGTTACGATCTGCCGTGAGATTGTGTTGGATAGCACCACGCAGTTGCTTCAGATTTGACAAAATGCAAAATGTCAACAAAATTTGCAACTTTTTACATTCTTTATTTCAATATTTTTCTCTTACATATACATTTGAGTGTACAAATTTGGACCAGTATCATAAGTTTTTTTTGTTAGATAAGCTCCAGATTTGGCTTCAGTACAGACTAAACTGATGTACATGCTCAAATATAATATTGTAAACCTTCCTGTAGAGAATATTAATTTAATTAAGAATATTAATATTAATTTAAATGAGAGATCTGTTTTAAAAATTTCAGTCCCGAGTCAACACTTATTACAGAGAATACCAGGGTGTACAGGACTGCATTGTTTTATGCCTAATATGCTTTTGATTGTTTAAATTAAACTGAACGGAATGATATTATGTGATGTTTACACCATATCTGCACTTTGAAATCACAGCAACAGCTGGAGGTTTGTTGTCCACAGCATATTGTTGCAATGTTTACAGTGTTGATTCTAAACTTTTGGGCTTCTTCCCTCAAAATTCTGACTTTATAACTCAGAATTGCGATTTTATTTCTCACAATTGTGACTTTATAACTCGGAATTGCGACTATTTCTTAGAATTTTGACTTTATAATTCACAATTCTGACATTATACCTCAGAATAAGGTATATGCTGAAGCATGCTAATAGGACTTTGAATTTGCCAGTAACCTGGGTTTATCGCTTCCGGTCAACTGTATGCCAATGCAAATATCTGCACATTTAAGGTCTGTTTTCTTTAAAAATCATCGATCTCCACCTGCTGAGTTATATCCGATATAAAGTGGGTCTCAGATTATACAAGAAGCACTGCATTAAATTACATTTTTCCTCGCCATGTCTTTAAAACATGAACATTTATTTTACCCCAGTATATTCAATAGAGCTTCTGCGCTAGCCTGCCGATTCTGACTGGCACGTGCGAGTAAACGGCTTTTTGTCTCGTTTTACGCTTGAGCAACTAAATAAATGAATGCCAAAGTTTATTTAACTGAATGTATTTTAATTACATTACAACATCGATGCTGTAAAAGGAACCATATAAATTGGGAAAAAAAAAATCTATATAACAGGTCACCTGAAGTTTATCAGCATGGGAAAAACAGTAAACTTTCACTTGGAATTGTGACTTTATTTTTAAGAATTCTGACTTTCTAACTTAGAATTCAGAATTTATAACTTAGAAATGTGACTTTATAACTCAGAATTGCGACTTTATTTCTCAGTGGTATCGGTATCTTGAATAAAAAGTGTAATAACTTCTATAGCCTATCAGAAAATAGTTGTTTCCCGAAAGCAATTTTGACATGGAAACAATATTTTTCTTTACATTTTATAGATGATATTTGGTCAACAAGTAGTGAGTTTTTACTGTCAAATAGGGTAAAAGAAATTCATTAATTTTTTCCTATTTAGCTTAGTCTCTTTACTAATCAGGGGTCGCCACAGCGGAATGAACCGCCAACTTATCCAGCATATGTTTTACACATTGGATGCCCTTCCAGCTGCAACCCATCACTTGGAAACACTCATACATTATGGCCAATTTAGTTTATTCAGTTTCCCTATACTGCATGTGTCTGGATGGAGGAAACTGGAGCACTTGGAGGAAACCCACGCTAACACTGGGAGAACATGCCACAGAAATGTCAACTGACCCAGCCAAGGCTCGAATCAGCGATCTTCTTGCTGTGAGGCAACAGCGCTACCCACTGCGCCACCTAAAAGAAATTCATTTAAAAATATTACACAGGTAATCTTACTATCCCTGCAATATGTTTATTAATACATTTTAAAAAGACATTTCACCACTGTGTTCTTTCTGTAACACTGAGCCTGGAAGTCTTGTACATCTATTTTTGTACTTGTAAATTTTCTGATGATTTTTATAAACCGGTTTGATTTTCATTTTACTAAATAATTAACTTTGATGAATGCACAATTCTTTTTTTAATTGTTAAACTGGCAATGATACACTCGATAATGCTTAGAAGTTGTTAATTTTAGCAAAAGTAAATTTAGCAAGGCAAAAGTAATGTGTATTCCTCCTTTAGTTTTTTCTGTAAATATTTTTAAATACTATTTTAAATAATAAATAATATTAAATACATTATATTTAAAATAATATTAAATATATAAAAATATTTTATATAAATATATTAAAATATTTAATATTAAAATAATATTATTTGACCTCAGCTACAAGTAACAAGAAGGCTATAAAACATCTCTAATAATGAAAAAGAAATCTGTACCGTCTAATAATTTCAATATGATGGGTCCCTTATACATATATATCCAATAATTGCTTTATTGGCATGACAAATGTATAGCCAAAGCAGTTCAAAAGTTTACATAAAATGTAATATGCATATATAATAAAAAAAACAGTAAACACAGTAAATAGTAATAGTGTAAAAAAAAAAGGGAAGATATTTATATATAATTAAATATCAACAATTCATATTCAATATATAATATTCAATATATTACATTAATATTCAATATATTATTCAACATGTATTATCCATACAAATCACTACAAAAATAATACATCAGAATAAACTGTACATTTAACAATCAACATTTTAGGATAAATCAGTAACAAAAACGATAATAATCAGTATATTTACAATGATTCAATTTTAATAATCTAGGTATGTGCATGTCTATTTGTATGTATGTATTTTATTTTATATTCTGCATGATGACTGTTGCATACAAAGAGTTCAGATGCAAAAACCTCTTAATGCCATCTGTAATTCTCAGTTATTTAACTTCCAAGGCAATTAAAAGTGCTTTTTTGTCACTTTAAAAGAAATTGACGTGCGTCTGCAGCTCCCTGAGTGGGCGGGGCTTTTAGAACGCGTTCTAAATTGGAATGCTGACGTATGTATAACCGCCCGTTTTGCAAACTGCCTCATAATCGTTTTGCATTGCTGTGATGAACTACAAACGAGATAATTTGGCGAGAAATAACGAACTACCGATGGATTTCTGCCAGAATCAAGGTAAAACATATGTACAACTCAGTATACATACATTTTTAAGCTTTATAGGGTTATATACTTGTATTTAAAATCAATGTGGTGTAGGAAAATGGCGAATGTGCTAAAATATCTGTACAAAATAAGTCAAACACATCCAGGATTTACTGTATGTTTAATAATTTTATGTATTTAATATATTTTGTACTTTACTGAAGTAAACTCAATCGTCAGTGTCCAATTAGTCACGCATATAAGCTTAAAATTCGTCGTTTTGCGTCGAGGACAGGTCATTAGGGCGTGGCTAGGCCTATTTTAGAGGGGCTGTAGCCCCCATATTTCTTCTCAGCCCCTCTAAAACTTTTGTAATTAGCTCATAAACTGTACACTAAATTATCACCCCAGTCTCCTTTAAATTTGAAATGAAAACGGCTGCAGAATTTGTTTTATCTTTCACAGACTCACTGACAGAGAGAGATACTGTAGAAACATCAAGTGTTGACAAGTATTAAAAAATACCCATTTATTATTATCATTCAGATCGTGAAATATGGGAATTAGCCTGTAAGTCTAAAATATGTATATGTATGTCATTTAATTAGAAAAGTGGCAGTTTATTCAATACATGGAAACAACAACAAAAAATACACTTGATTATAGAAAATGGTTTTTACTACAGTAAACAGGTGGGTTGAGCCTATTTGCCTTATTCAGAACTCAAATGCTATGCCTGTCTATGTAATACAGTGGAATACTAGTATACAACCCATATTAAACTAACATTTTTAGGTGTATTACTATTAAATGACTACTTATAAATGTATCATTATATTTATACTATTATATATTACAATATTATTATATTGTTAATGTTTTCAATGAGTTACTGTTTTTTTTCCGGAACATTTTTATTCACAGATTAATATTGTCTCACATTACATAAATAATGTGATAATGTTTAAATTAAATGTCACTTTATTGTGAACTACACTGTAAGGAAAAATCTGTAAAAATACAAAGAATGTCCTGTTAGAAAATAACCAACACATTTCTCAGTTTTTTTTACGGAAATTTCCTTCTTTTAGTAAACGGAAAATTATGTAAAACTTCAGTAAAAAACATTGTGAGTTTCCTTCCTCTTGTTGAACACAAAAGAAGATATTTTGAAGAATGCACATCCATAGTAGAAAACTCATTAGATGATGAAATTAAGATTTTGGTGTTTGTTCAGAAAAGCTAAATGATATGTTTCTCCCTCAGAATCAAACATGATGACCAACAACAACACAAGAAGATTGTTCCAGCGGTTCTCCAAATATCAAGGTAAGCAGCTGTATTTGAAGTAAATTGTTTTTCAGACAGTGAATATTCTCAGCCAGATGTGCTGTAATGAGTGCAGAAATGTACATGTTTTGCTGATTACTGTATATTATCTTTTCCAGGACTTGCAGTTGTTCTTGATGAGGAGGAGGACGCTCTATTCAGAGCTAGTCCAGCCGCTTACAAAGGTATGAAATTATTCAGTTTCTGTTTTCTGATGTAATGATGAATCCAGACAACTGACTTAGGGCTGGCTCATAGGACTTTTTTAAAAATTACACAATTTTTTGCACCACTACTTAAAAATTTAGTTGAATGGTATTAACTTGTAAAACATGCTTTTGTTTTAATGTGTTTTAAAATGTTTTAATGATTAATTGTGCAGTGATACACTGAATGCATTAATACAGCATATTGACAGAAGACACCTTTAATAACCTGAGAAACAGGGTATCCGCGGTATCTTAAAAAGTATTGAAATGTCTTAAATCTCAAAAGATACATTTTAGGCCTTAAAAAGTCTTAAATCTACTGAAATATTATATTGTAGCTCTTAAATCTTTTTTTAATAGATCATAATTTTCCTTTGTTTATGTATAGCTAGCCAAATTTGCCATTAACACCAATACAATCACCACCAATCCTAATCTCAAATAAAACTTTTTATTTAAAAATAGCATTTAACTACTTTCCTTACAGTAACATTTGCATAAAAGTTCTAAAAAAATTTTACTACTGAGGACTACTACTGACCTGACATATATATTTTTGTTAATAAATTATTATTATTGCATTATTAAGTTACAATCACTTAAGTGATAATAATATTTCTTTTAAAAGGTCAAGTGAAAATCTTTTCCAATTGGGATATTCGAAACGAAAATTCTCTGAGCATTTAGCCCTGTATAAGTCTAAAATTTAAACCATAATGGTCTTAAAAAGTCTTAAATTTAACTTAGTGAAACCCTGAAGAAAACATTTAGGTGCCTCCACAACTTTTCCCGTCATCATTAAATATTAAACAGGGCAGACAAAATGTTTTCATACATGTGATTTGAATGATTCAGAAGTTGATTGTTACAAATGTTCACATCTAAAATCTAAAAGAATTTTATTTTTACTTTAACCAATTGCTCAACTAACCAGCATGCTGATAATGTTTTTTTCTGTCTATTCTTCTTCTGCCACAGTGTCTAAGACTGCCTCTGAGAATAACCAGATTTCTCAGGTTGAGAGTGTTTCTCCAAAAGACACTTTCTCTGGGAACGACGGTGTCTCTGTGGTAGTTTTCCTACATGAGAGTGATGGTGTCTCTGAGACGTTTCTTTGCTCTGAGACTGACACCTCCTTTCCGACAAACCGTGTCTCTGTGATGGACACCTTCTCTGAGATTGACTCTGTCTCTCAGATTGAAGGTGTTGCTCCAGTGGACACTTTCTCTGAGACTGATGATGTCTCTCCAACTGATGGTGTTCCTCCAATGGACACCTTTTATGAAACTGAAGCTGTCTCTCAGATTGATGGTGTGCCTTTAACGCACACTGTCTCTGAGACTGACACTGTCTCTCAGATCGATAGAGTTCCTATTATGGACACTTTCTCTGAGATTGACTCTGTCACACATCACAACCAATACCCACCCAGCACAAGTAAGATGTACTCTTACTTTGAGTATCGCAGGAAGAAGGCTGACCCTACAAACACAAGAAGACTGATTCAGCGTTTTTCTGAATATCAAGGTAAGCGCAATAGGGAAGCAACTGAATTTTACTTAAATTGTTCTTCAATTCTTTTTGACATTTTACTGAACGCTGTTTGTTATCTTTTCCAGGACTTGCAGTTGTTCTTGATGAGGAAGAAGATGATATATTCAGGGCGAGTCCAGCTTTCAAAGGTATGGAATTATTCAGTTTTTGGTTTATGCAATGATGAATCCAGAGACTATTGACTAACCAGCATACTGATAATGTTTTTTTCTGTCTTTTCTTCTTTTCCCACAGTGTCTAAGACTGCCTCTGAGACTAACCAGATTTCTCAGATTGAGAGTGTTTCTCCAAAAGACACTTTCTCTGAGAATGACGGCGTCTCTCAGGGTGATGGTGTGCCTTCAACCGACACTGTCTCTGAGACGGACGCTGTCTCTCAGATTGATAGAGTTCCTGTGATGGACACTTTCTCTGAGATTGTCTCTCAGATTGAAGGTGTTGCTCCAGTTGACACTGTCTCTGAGACGGACGCTGTCTCTCAGATTGAAGGTGTTGCTCCAGTGGACACTGTCTCTGAGACTGAGGCTGACACTGTCTCTCAGATTGATAGAGTTCCTATTATGGACACTTTCTCTGAGATTGACTCTGTCACACATTACAACCAATACCCACCCAGCACAAGTAAGATGTACTCTGAGTGTCACAAGAAGAAGGCTGACCCTACAAACACAAGAAGACTAGTTCAGCGTTTCTCTAAATATCAAGGTAAGCGCAATAGGGAAGCAACTGAATTTGACTTAAATTGTTCTTCAATTCTTTTTGACATTTTGTTAAACGCTGTATGTTATCTTCTCCAGGACTTGCAGTTGTTCTTGATGAGGAAGAAGACGCTATATTCAGGGCGAGTCCAGCTTTCAAAGGTATGGAATTATTCAGTTTTTGGTTTATGCAATGATGAATCCAGAGACTATTGACTAACCAGCATACTGATCAATTTTTACTTTTCTTCTTCTGTCACAGTGTCTAAGACTGCCTCTGAGACCAACCAGATTTCTCAGATTGAGAGTGTTTCTTCAAAAGACAGTTTCTCTGAGATTGATGCTGTCTCTCAGATTGATAGAGTTCCTGTGTTGGACACTTTCTCTGAAACTGACGATGTCTCTCAGGCTAGCTCTGCTTCAGAGGACTCAGGAAAGCATAAAGAAGATGCTGACTTCAACATCTTGTTAGCCACTGACTCCTACAAGGTGACACATTACAACCAATACCCGCCCAACACTAGTAAGATGTACTCTTACTTTGAGTGCCGTGAGAAGAAGGCCAACCCCAACAAACCCAGGAAAATCAGATATGACACGACGGTCTTCTATGGACTTCAGTATGTTCTCCACAAGTACTTTAAAGGACAGGTCGTCACACTGGAGAAGATTCAGGAAGCAAAGGAAGTGTACCGGGAACACTTTCATGACGACATGTTCAATGAGAAAGGATGGAATTACATTCTGGAGAAGTACAACGGCCATCTTCCCATCGAGATCAAGGCTGTGCCAGAGGGAAGTGTAATCCCGCGTGGAAACGTGCTGTTCACTGTGGAAAACACAGATGATGAGTGCTACTGGCTGACTAACTGGATAGAGACGATTCTTCTGCAGATCTGGTATCCTATCACTGTCGCGACCAACTCGCGAGAGCAAAAGAAGATTCTGGCCAAATATCTGATGGAAACCTCTGGAAGCCTGGACGGGCTTGAATATAAGCTGCACGATTTCGGCTACAGAGGAGTTTCATCTCAGGAAACAGCTGGAATCGGTGGATCTGCACACTTGGTAAACTTCAAAGGAACAGACACCATGGCTGGGATCAGACTCATCAAGAAATATTACGGCACTAAAGAGCCAGTTGCTGGTTTCTCGGTGCCAGCTGCAGAGCACAGCACGATCACAGCCTGGGGAAAGGACCACGAGAAGGACGCTTTCGAACACATTGTCAGGATGTTCCCATCCGTCCCTGTATCTGTGGTCAGTGACAGCTACGACATCTACAACGCCTGCGAGAAGATCTGGGGCGAAGAACTGAGGTCTCTGGTGGAGATGCGTAGCGCAGACGCCCCGCTGGTGGTCCGACCCGATTCAGGAGACCCTCTAGAAACAGTTCTGAGAGTGCTCGAGATCCTAGGAGAGAAGTTCCCTCCGCTCGAGAACTCCAAAGGCTATAAGGTGCTGCCCCCCTACATCAGAGTCATCCAGGGGGATGGCATCGACATAGAGTCTTTACAGGACATCTTAGAGGGCATAAAAAAGCACGGATGGAGCATTGAGAACATCGGCTTTGGTTCAGGAGGATCTTTGCTGCAGAAACTGAACCGAGATATGCTCAGCTGCTGCTTTAAGTGCAGTTATGCGGTGACAAACGGGGTGCCCATAAACGTCTTTAAAGACCCCATTGCAGACCCCACTAAAAAGTCAAAGAAAGGCCGGCTTTCCCTTCACAGGACACCCAGTGGAAGTCTGGTGACACTGGAAGAGGGAAGCGGCAGTCTGGGGGAGTACGGAGAAGACTTGCTCCAGACTGTGTTTAGGAATGGGAAGATCATAAAGACGTACACCTTCGATGAGGTCAGAGAAAATGCGGAGCTGAAGGAGAGTGAATTGTGTCCCTCTGAGCAGCTCCCATCATCCCCTTCTTCACCACACTGCTCACAGACCCGAGCACACACACAACATGCAGAAACAGGTGAGACTTACACAACATTTTTCACTAAATCATGACAAAGATACTTTACACCACTTTTATGCACAATATTTAGTAATATTGGAGATCTATAAACTCTTATTAGCCAGTTATATTGTATTATTTACAATCTTGTGTTCACAATTTGTGTCTGAGCCTCTCTACAGGCTTCTCTACAATCATTCAATGAAATTTCCTCATTGAGGTCCTTCTTCTATGCTCATAACTAATTTTCTGTTTCATTTTCTGTTTCAATTTCTCTTCACTAGGAACATAACAAAGTATAGCCAGGAAAAACAGGACTCCACCGTTCCCGACCCTCTCCGACATCCAGACTGCAGCTCTGCCTTAAGTTTTGTCCAGAGGAGAACTGGTCCCCCGACCGAGCCTGGTTTCTCCCAAGGTTTTTTCTCCACCTAAATAGGTGGAGTTTGGTTCCTTGCCACTGTCGCCTCTGGCTTGCTTGGTTGGGGCTGGCAGAGCTGCACATCGGTGGGATGACCTTCAACAGGGACATTTGTATTAAATGATAATATTGGCTAAATAATAAGAGTGTAGTAGATGGAAATGGACACACCAAGAGCCACACACACACACCGGTGTTTCCTCTTTCTCAAGTAAATCCTGAGTGAAAATCCCGGTTAAAAAAAACAAGCAGATCAGAACAAAATACAGACTGCTATGTTCCACACAGGATCATTAATATGCACACCCCAGACTGTGTTTGATTGGCCACAATTCCTAGTGAGTTTACTGTTACAAACTCTATTTTAAAAGTGCAGATTTGGGGAGGGGATAGGTAACAAAAAGGACACACAAAAATCCTATTCTCTATTAATTTAGAGCAGGGCTCCCCAAACCCAGAGACCTACCTGGAAACTTCTAATGTGCCTTCATCAAGAACACAGAATACAGCAGAACACGCATGAAGATTCGATAATACACACACTGGGGAATTCCAAGTGATACTTCTGTCAAAATAAACACACACACACATACACAAAGTATTTCCCAAATGACAGAACTTATCGTATCAAGAAAATCTGCAGATTCCCTCCCCCTACAGAACAGAGTGGCTAATAAGACTCACGATTGGCTATTTTCAGCTTAACTGGAAGTGTAGCATTGCACTTTTCCTCATTCATTGTTTTCTGGAGGAAAGAACTGAAGAGTCAGAGTGAAACACCAATCAGAAGTGTTAAAAAGAGCTCACGGTGTGTTTCATATGATTTTTTTGTTTTCTGTTTTTAAGAAATGTCACTTGTTTTTATGTAAATGATGTTCAATAAAACTGTATGCATTTATTAGTTGTGTTTTGTCTCATTATTTTACATATGTGGCTAAGAAATAAGTATATAACAAAATGTTTTTGGTGGGGGCAGTAGATGAAATCCTTAGCGTTTATATGGGTTGTTGACAAATAGGCAGTAAAAATTGCTATGTAGTATGAAGTCTGATGTGTAATAAAATGTAAATCGTCACTTATGGTATGTCTTATAGTGTGACAAAAAAAATGAAGAAAAACTTGTTATAATATGCAAACAGCGTGTGAGTGATTTATCTTAACTGTTGGACACTAATCTTCATGTAGGGGACTTACCAACCTACGTCACACGGGTTGCAAAAAAAGACCAGTTGCATTAGCAAACATGTCGTGTTGTGCGGTAGGATGCCAAAATCAAAAAATAGGAAACTTAAATTCTATTTCTGCGGCAGCTCACCTGCAGTGCAACAGAATTCAGAGGTAAGCACAGTAAAAAACACTGAAATACGAACTAAATGTCACGTTAAATCTTTCCCTGCTGAAAAATCCAGCTTAAACAAGCCTAGGCTGGTTGGCTGGTTTTAGCTGGTCGACCAGACTGGTTTTAGAGGGGTTTTGGCCATTTCCAGGCTGGTTTTCAGCCATTTCCAGCCTGGTCTTAGCTGGTCAGGCTGGGAGGTGACCAGCTAAAACCAGCTTGACCAGCCTAGCCAGACTGGGAGCCCAGCTATGTCCAGCTTAAACCAGGCTGGTCAAGCTGGTTTTAGCTGGATTTAGCTGGTCATTTTCCAGCCTGACCAGCTAAGACCAGGCTGGAAATGGCCAAAACCCCTCTAAAACCAGCCTGGTTGACCAGCTAAAACCAGCCAACAAGCTGGATTTTTCAGAATAATTATTATGCCACTATTTTTCAAAACTGTCTTGCCCATTTGCCACCAAGTTTTTATTCAGTTCAGAATGTCATAAAATGTATGACTCCATTTTGTATCTGTTGAATGATGATGGGACATTATTTCACCCATGTTTTGAAAAATATTATAAAATGTGTACTAGTTTGCTTAACTCATTGGTTCTATAGGTGAATTAAATAAACTAAATTGACAGTAGTGTATGAGTGTGTACGAATGTACTGGTTTTGTGCTCAGGGTTTTTTTTTTTTTGCTTACTATATTTTCATATTTATATGCATATCTCAAAGCATAAGTTGTATATATATATATATATATATATATATATATATATATATATATATATATATATATATATATATATATATATATTATTTTTTTTTTTAATTAACGTTTATGACAGCATTCAGTGCATAACATTAATTTTGTATGATGAGTCCAACCTTCAGTTGTGTGCTGCGAGTTTCTCTATGAGGATTTTTAGTGTCTGACTGTGTGAATGATTCTCTTTGACAGAGTGCATGATGGGAAGGAGACAGCGAGAGATTACACATCATCAAAGCCATGTTTGCAGGAGAAACGTGTTTGCCGTTTGAGCGAGGGATATTTCAGAAATGCTGAAGCATATCAAAAGTGCCAGCACTCTCTCGGTTTAGCACACAGACTTCAGACTTTTTTTTGTAATTACATCTCCAGAAATATCTCCTCGACCCATTATATTACAGAAGGAGGTGAGAAATGAGATTTTATATTTATCTAATTGGTTTTATGCTTTAATTATACATTTGATCACAGTTGCGAGAATAATCTATTTGGATCATTCAACTCATTAGACTATTTTTGCATGAGCTTTATCTCACATTTTATTATATTTTTCAAAATACGGTGGAACAATGTTCCATCATCATTCAATAGATATGTTAAGTCAGACAAAAACAGTCATATTTAGATTTTAACTGAAAAAATCTTACCAGTTTTGAAAAATAGTGGCAAAATAAAGATTTTGACCTTTTGTTATTTCAAGGATGCACAGCGATCATAAGTAGAGACTTTTAATATGCCATCAAATAATTCTTGTTTACTGACAACATTCATGTTTGGTACGACAATCGATACTCAAAAGACATTTAAAAAAAAAAAAGTATGATGATAATAGTTATGATAATCATTATTTTAAAATTAATACATTTCCAAAATTATATTATATTAAGATAAGTGATAATTTCTTTTTACATCTAATTGGCTTTATTTTTAAATTATTAATTTAATAGTTCATAGAGAATAATCTAATCCATAACATTTTGTATTATTTTACTCATTGGAACAGCACTGCATGACTTTTTACACACATTTTATTATAAATATTTTTCAAAATATGGCTCAATTTATGTTCTATCATCATCATCGTCATATCACCATCAAAACTAGACAAGGGCGTCACGATGTCGCAATAGGTAGCACAAGCCCCGGCTGGGTCAGTTACCTTTTCTGTGTAGAGTTTGCATGGGTGCTCCAGTTTCCCCCACAGTCCATAGACATGCGCTGTAGGTGAATTGAATAAGCTAAATTGTCCATAGTGAATGCAAGAGTGTGTGGGGTTTTCCCAGTGTTCGGTTGCAGCTGGAAGGGCATCCACTGCATAAAACATGCTCGATAAGTTGGTGGTTTATTCCACTGTGGCAACCTTTGATCAATAAAGGGACTAAGCCAAAAAGAAAATGAATGAATAAATAACTTGACGACACTAACATTTAGTAGTTTGAACTGATTTAATTAACATTTCAGAGTCTTTTATTATGTCATGAAACCTTTTGTTCGATATTTTTTTCCGATATGACTGACAAGATATTTTTACAAACTATTGTTACACTGAAATACATTTTTAAAAGTATCTTGGAAAAAATTATCATAATTATATATGTAGACCTTTCCAAAAATGGATTTTTATAATTCAATTGATCACTGTTTCAAAAATAATCTAAGCCGTATCCATTTGGATCATTGATTCAACTCACACATTTTATTCTTTTTTTTTTAAAAAAAGATTGTGCCGAATGTTTATTATCATTTTGCACAACAGTTATCTTAATGTAAAAACGAATTAACTTATTTTGACTTGTAATGAAGTATGACTAATATTTTACTATCAAAAACTATAGAATATATATTATTGACTATTTTTTCCGTATTGATACACTGAAAGACGATTCAAAAAGTATGATAAAAGGCATACGTTTTCAAATGAAAATACCATGATACACTCATTGGCCACTTTATTAGGTACAGTTGTCCAACTGCTCGTTAACGCACATTTCTAATCAGCCAATCACATGGCAGCAACTCAATGCATTTAGGTATGTAGACATGGTCAAGACGATCTGCAGTTCAAACCGAGCATCAGAATGGGGAGGAAAGGGGATTTGAGTGACTTTGAACATGGTTGTCTTCTGATGACTACTTCCAGCAGGACAATGCGACATGTCATAAAGCACGAATCATCTCAGACTGGTTTCTTGAACATGACAATGAGTTCACTGTACTAAAATGGCCTCCAGTCACCAGAGCTCAATCCAATAGAGCACCTTTGGTAGTTGGTGGAACAAAAGATTTGCATCATTGATGTGCAGCTGACAAATCTGCAGCAACTGTGTGATGCTATCATGTCAAAATGGACCAAAATCTCTGAGGAATATTTCCAGTACCTTGGTGAATCTATGGATCTAGGATAAAGGCAGTTCTGAAGCCAAAAGGGGGTCCAACCTGGTACTAGGAAGGTTGCCAGTGAGTATATTATTATATTATATTATATTATATTATATTATATTATATTATATTATATTATATTATATTATATTATATTATAAATCACATTAATAAAATATAAGTGAATTTTTGAATGAATATTAAAACATTTTGATCACAGTTTGGAGAATAATCTTATCCATTGAGATCAATCAACTCATTGAATCATTGGTATGTTAGTTAGCACACATAGAAGTGCACATTCTTTGCATGTTTTCTGATGTTGGATGCAGGGACTGAAATGCATACTGAGGAGATGGAGAAAGAACAGCCTTCAGATCAAAGCGTGGAGGATATTGCTGGGACGCCGAGAAATATCTGATAATCGCTATCTCTGAAAGCAAGTGAACTTCAGCCAACTTCAGAACACAGAAATCGTGCAATTACACAGCCCATGAGCCAAAGCTTCCCACACAATGCGCTTTAGAAAACAAAAGGTTAGTTCTTTCTGTATTTATCTGAAGGTCTATCTAAAGACACAGCTCAAGAGAGTGAAAGGCTATGTCATTTCTTTCTTTCTCATGTGTCAGTACGGCTATTCAGTGGCAACAAAAAGCCATGATTCAATAAGACAGGAAAAATAAGTTTGTTTTCACAATGTATGTTTCTTTTCAGTATTATTTGTTTATATACATTCCATTATTTCACTCTGTTGTAATTGTAGTTATTCATCATATGAAGGTAAGATGAAACTTTTAAGATGCTGAATATCTTTACAAACTCCTGCAGCACAAAAGTTTTTTCTTTCTGTTTTGTTGTTATTTTCAGTCGTTAAAGATGACATTTTTTTTTACAAACTGAATCATACTAGCTCAATAGTCAACACCGGCTCATTGGTAGAAATATGATCATATGAGGTCAGAATTATTAGCCCCCCTTTTTTTATTTAATTTTTTATATTTCCCATATGATGTTTAACAGAGCCAAGAAATTTTCACAGTATGTCAGGTTTTTTTTTTTTTTTTTTTTTTTTTTTTTTTTTTTTTGCTTCTGGAGAAAGTCTTATTTGTTTTATTTCGGCTAGAATAAAAGCAGTTTTTAATTTTTAAAACCCATTTTAAGGTCAAAATTATTAGCCCCTTTAAGCTATTTTTTCAATAGTCAACAGAACAAACCTTCGTTATACAATAACTTGCCTAATTACTCTAACCTGCCTGTAAAAGTGTCTTGAATAATGTGTATATATATATATATATATATATATATATATATATATATATATATATATATATATATATATATATATATATATATATATATATATATATATATATATAGGGTAGTAGTACCATAGTACCATAGATTTTTTTTTAAAATTCTAGAT